AGTCTCCCGATAGGAATACAGCTGTCTCTCTGGTCCACATTCCATTGCCAATGGCTTCAATGGGGATTCCCCAAAGAGATGCTGGGGAAACCTGTCCTCTGCTTTAAAGAGTGGCAGCTGCTCTAAGCACATTTAACTAGCTGGCAGAGTGACCAATGTTTGTCAAAACTCTACAAGGGATAGTTAAAAGTCTGAACAAGATTATCTAGCACTAGACCTAGGAGAAGAGGAAACGTTGGAGATCCTCCCTTACACTAAATATGTTTTGGTCCCAGAAGTGTGCCACTTTTGGAGATAGCTCCTTCTGGTGTCACCCAGAAGTTGGTTCTCTCCACTGTCTCTCAGGTTCAGCATCCGGAGAGAGACTTGCTCAGAACAATAAGCTGGGACATGGCTTTTATATGTGTTCTGCTGGACGGGCAAAATTTCCGTCTCTCATCTGACCCAGAGATAGGGTATGTGTTCTTTGTCTAAGGTGACTTCCCTGTCTTTGATGTTACCAAACACTCATCTTCTAGGGGCTTAACTTAGTTGGAACAGTCTAGAGTTCTTTACTAAGTCTGAGCTAGACTTAAAAAGACCCATCTTATAGTTTATATCGAAGTTCACTGAGAGCATTCAAACATTACTCTCCCTAGCCAAATAACGTCAAACAAAGAAAACCCGTACATTTAGCCACTATTTCAAACACATCAAATGCAACATATGCCAGAACAAAACAGGAATAAAAGGTTCCGTTAAAGAAATAACATAACCTTACAATCTTGCCATTTTCTAACTTAGATTTGACAACATTTTAACAAAACTGTATAATAGACAAAGCATAAGCAACTATAAGCAACAGGCAAAAGCATAACAAAATTTGAAGCATAAAAATTTGTTACCTAAATGTGTCCCAATCCAGAGTTTGTAAAACAAAAGCAAACTCTTACCTCTGACTAAGGATCTTGGTAGGGATTTCCAAAATGATACAGGAAAATAAAAACTTCCAACCTGAATGATATGTGGGATGAGTTTGTGTTCTCCAAAATCCAAGAATGAATTTTGGGAACAATGGAGGTTAAGAGCAGAATATATTTATTGAGGGAAAGAAAGCTTCAGACCAAGACCAGGACAGAAGGGGGGCCCAAATGGTTTACCCAAAACTGTTTTTTCTAGGGACTTTATAGAGCAAAACAACAATGTGAGGGAAAAATCTATGATCAGCCAGTAAGAACTGTTCAGGTAGAATTGATTTAATTGGCATCAAATGGGGAAGCAAGTCATGCAGCAAGCTGGCATGAATGCAGAACAGGGGATTTTCCAGTAAGGGGTTGGGTCAGGGATTCTTCAAAGTGATTGCTACATATTTAGAATGTCAATTCCAGATGTCCATCCCTTGGGAAGTAAGAGGGTGTGTTTCTTTAGTCTTCTGTCTTGAGTTCTGGTTCACAGTTATCTTATCTTGTCTGTCCTGTTGGCTCCTTCCAGGGCCTAGCACTGTCTGACTGCCTATAATATTTCTATCTGTCTCAACTGTCTGTAACAGAAGGAAGCACAAAGATGACCTGTTGAGGTTTTATGTTTGCAAATGAGGAAACTAAGGAGAGAGAGGATGTTCCATAGCTAGTTGTGGCAGAACCAAGCTAGATTTCAGATGCCTCTGCCTGTAGATACTTTCTTCTTTTCTGCATTCTTAGTAGGGGGCATAAAGTCTGCTCACAAATTTTTATTGTTTCTTACCTTTAAAAAGTTACTACTCATTGTACTGACATCTAATCACCTCAGATTGCTCAACTAGGTATCTCTGGTGTCTCTGAGTCAGAGGTCAATGAAACATTCTAAGGCGGAGTGACATTCTCCGTTGGTTATACTAGTTCCTGGTGGAGTGCCCTGGTTTATTTCCCCAATAATAAGAATTTATTTATTTCATTAGTACATGTGTGTGATACATAATGATACACATTTATCAAGGAGAAATCTACATGTACAAATCACATCCTCAACCTATTTACTTCCCATTTCCTCACTCCCCTCTCACTGTATCCCTAGATCCCTTTCTCATCTGCAAGATGCCAACAAGGTGGCCCCGCACTAGACACTCATCTTTTCAGGTCCTCAGCCTCCTCCTGTGAGATGAGAGTCTCATCCTCAAAGTGCTGGGTGACAGAGTGGTTTGTGACCCATGAAAGGCTGCACAGGATGGAAGGAGGTGATTCCTGGTGACTATGGTCTGGGAAATAGGGTTCCCAGTACAACCCAATTTATTCTTCTATTTGGAACAGAAGTGCTTGGGGTTAACTGCACAGAAGGCAGGCTGGAGATGCTGAAGAGCTTTAATGCTAAGCCAAGCAATGTGCTAAAACTGAGCAGAGAAATCTTAAAACCCAGGAGAGTCGAAGGGGTAATTGTTGATTTCTTTTGTCCTGCTCCCTTCTTTTGAATGGATCTTAGATTCATAACAACCCAAGGAGTATAAAACAAAAACAAACCCCAGAAATCAGCTCTTCTACAGTCACAGCAGTTCAGAAGGGTCTTGAGAACTCAGACTCAGTGTCCTGAGGAGGCACTTAACCAGAGATCAGGAGCCTCCTCTGAGAGATGCAGCTGAGGAGAGAGGAGGAAAGGGAAGGAGGATGACAAGAGGGGACACAGAAGCAGAGATTGAGATGGATGAGGACTCAGCAAGGCAGAAAGGAGGAAGTTGTAGAGAGAATGCAGGAAGGAACCATCGGATCACAGCAGACTGAAGTTGGAGAAGAGCTAAGGCATTCCAGGGAAAAGAGCCAAGAGGTGAAGGAGAAGATAAAAGAAACATTACATGAGGGAGATTCTGAGAGAGAAATTTATAAAAAGCTTAGGGGAAAAAAAAGCAGAGAGGAGAAGAAGTGTGGAGGAGAAAGAGGACTAGGAAAGGAGAGAGACAGGGCCTGGGGGAGGGAGGAATGAGAGAGGGAGGAGTGTGGAGGGAGAGAGCTAGGGAGGGAGGGATGGAGGGAGGAGGAGTTGGAGGCAGGGAAGAGAGATACCAGACCAAACAAGCAGAGAGCCTATTTGAGGAAACCTCTCCTTTCCTGCTCTAGGAAGCCTCCAAGGACCAAAGTTTGGATAAGGGAGGGAGAGCATTTGGAGGTGCCTCAGGACACTTAGGCTGGTATAATTACACTCTGGGTCTCCAGTCAAGGGCCAGGCAAGATTCTAGGATCTATAGAGCTATAACTTATATTGCCAGGGTTGGAGTACAAGACTGTAGATTTGTGCTCTCTCAGACTATTCTGAGAGTGACTTTGTAATGCCATACTATGTGCTTAACCTTGTCTAGAATTCAAAGCCTTGGAAGGTTCAACACTCTTTACTGTGCATTCTTTCCTACCCTGATCTTACAGACATCAGAGGAGATAATGACGAATATCCAAGCTACCCAGGGCCCCTCCCAAGTTTTCCCACTGCTTAGCACTCCGGTTTGCATATAAATATTGAGGATATTCTAAGTTATGTTGCGTACCTGATGACAGAATTTGACAGTTCTCAGCCTGCCATGATTTCTGGAGTTGTAGTATTATTTTAACCTAATATTGACTAGTTTGATACTTATAAAATTTAGCCCTTTATAAAAAGCAGGGGAGCGTGTGGAAGGGCCTGGAGATGTGACTGTTCTATGTCAAGAAATGAGCTGATCTTTCCTTGGTAAGAAACTGTTAGGAACAAACAAAGCTGTCAGAACTCTGATCTGGAGAGCAAGCACTCAATACAATAACAGCTGGAGACCTAAGTACTGTTTCTTAAACTTTCTCTGTGGCTGAGAGAAGAGAAGCCTGGATTTCCTAGTCTGCTGGTCCTTTACCCACGCACAGACACTCAATAGTTGTCACATATGGGGAGGAGCCTCCTGGACTTTGCTGCATCCATTTGTGGATTCCTGGTGAAACCCAAAACTGTTCTTTCTGGCCAAGATTCTGTTAGGAAGCTCAGAGTTGTGTGGAAATGACCCTGGCCTTGAGTGTGGAGCTTTACTCTTTGTAGTACGTGGTGTAGTATGTGAGCCAGAGCACTGTGCTCCTTATCTCTAAGGCTTAGTCATTCAGAGTATGAGATTTACTGGATGATTTCTGAGATGGCTTTCCAGTTCCAACTTTTTTTGGAGCAGAACAATATCAGTCTCTCTCTCTGTCTCTCTCTCTCTCTCTGTCTCTCTCTCTCTGTCTCTCTCTCTCTGTCTCTCTCTCTCTCTGTGTCCTTATGTCCTTATTTTTAATTTTTTGTCACAATAGAAAGGCAAATAGATTGGAAATCTCTCAAATTTCAAGAAAGAAACAGATTCTGAGAAAGGAAGAGCATGGGGATGGGGTACAAATGGCTTCCCCCTCATTACAGAGACATGTGAAGTTTTTTTAGAACCCATCACATCTCCTGGGGGCCTCTGTCCAGTATGGTCTATATAGAGGTAATGGCAGAGGAGTTGGTTCCCTCTGAAATCTGCTCTTGGAGGAACGATTTTCAACTTCACCAGCTCTACACCCATACAAATGCATTTCTTTCGTTTTTCTACAAAAGGTGAGCAGAATAAGTATAGCCCTTGCATACACTTATATATATGCATCTGTGTGTGATCACATATTCGCACCTACAGGCTGAATGTGTGAGCCTCTTTGTGCGTTTTGAGTGTGCACGTGTGCAAGCGAAACTGTGAAAGGTATATGTTGGTGGAACTGAGAGAAAATAAACGACTGTCTGTAGAGCGCGTCATGTGAAATGGTGCGTGCCTGTGTGTAGACATTTTTTAAGTAAACAATTTTAGATGTTGTCGCCTCCCCTCACTTCTGTGATTGATTTTGCAAGGCTGATAGTGTGTAAAAGCCCTGGGGGCACCTGCTAGCCTAAGGTCAGAGAGTTTAAAAGCAGGGGAGCCTGTGGAGAGCTCACTAGGCTCAGTAGGAGTCCTGAGTGGTTCTTGCTGCCTGCAGATCCTCATCTAGAGTTTGATCCACTGCTCTCCAGGTCAGCTTGCCGGCTCCGCGGACATGCTGTCCTGCCACCTCCGGTGCGTTCTGGCCGTGCTCTCCATCGCCCTGGCCCTGGACGGTGTCACTGGCGCCTTCTCTGAGGATGGACACAGCTGGTTTGTACGCATGTACAAGGCTTCTTCCGCGAACTATCGAATCTCCCAGTTTCTGCAGAAGTACTTGCTTGCTCCTGAAGGAAAGCGAAAGGTAAAAAAACTCCCTCCACGTCTTGTTTTCTCTCTCCTTCCTTCCCCAACATCCCTTTAGCAGTAACAGGTGTTTGGCTCGCTTAACGAGTTCCAGGCAACCAAACTTTCAGGAAAACTTTCAAAGTTTAGAATCCCTTCACCTGTAATTTTGCCGGGTGTGCGCAGTCGGTCACCCTTCAGGTGAGTTCTTCCCAGGCATTTAAGAAAATTGGGAAACCCAGGTCAAGTTGAGTACAAAGGGATGATAGCATCTACCCCGCTACTGCCCACCAGAGTCGCTGGCCCTGCTGCTGAAGCTTGGACCTCATCCAGGGCATGGTACAAGGGGTAACAGGCTTGCCAAGAGGACAAATATGCTTCGATTGTGTGAGGTACTTCTCCCCTTACATTTGTTTTGTGAAAACAGTAAGACTCATTGCACACCATAGCTCATGGTATGGAAACTAAGTTAAATTATTGGCACACCCCTCATCTTCGTAAAACTGCTTTTATCATCTATTTCTCTTTGTGCTTTTAATGCTTACAGGGTCAGAATACTCACAGAAACATTTGCGCATTCAAAGTATAGCAACTACCGGTATTATTTCTCATATTTGAACTGATTTTTAGGCGAATAAAATCTGCACAGCTGTGAAAGCTGGGTTTGGATTGTAATCAAAGCTGTTTTCCACAGAAGGTTTTCCTTTTCTTCTCTTCATTTTCTCTTCCTCTTCTCGTTCCCTCTCCTGCCCCACACAGGAAGTGTTAGACACCTTCTCGGCAGGGCTGCCTTGTAAAAACCAGAAAAAGAGTAGTGTGCTGGAACCTGAAGGTTTGTCCCAGGCTTCTGAACACAACGAGATGAGGCTGGAGCTGCAGAAATCTGTGAAGTCAAACCCGGCCACGGCACCACCAAAACGCAAGAAGGACTGCAAGAATTTCTACTGGAAGTCTTTAAGACCCTGTTAGCTTTATTAATTATTGTCTTCTACGTCAGTCCTCTGATTCCTGTCCTCCAGACCACCTTTCTCTTCCTTAATCCCTCACACCCTCAGCAAGACTCTTGCATTAGAAACTGAAGACTGTTAATATAAAATAAAATTCTATTGAAATTATTGAAAGCAAGAATTTGGAGACTTAGTGAGTAAATATTTTTTTTCAATAATGTGAGAAGAATTTGAATTATGTTATTGGCAAACATGTTTGGGAGATGCATTTTCATTCTTACAGTCATCCATTTAAAATTCCCTGTGGTAATAAATGTTACACTTCAAGTGAAAAAACTTATAATTTCAGTTATTTCAAATTGAAATCCTTTCAAATAGTTCTATGTCAATTCAAATTTCAATTCAGTGGTAATTATTGGAAGGGTCGTCCTTAAACATCAATTACCTCTTATGCATATTTAAAATTATACGTTTAATTGTCAAAATGAGGATTAATATTTATGGGTAGACTGACTGACATGACCTAGACTGACAAATAAAATGGAATATGCTAAAAAATGGAAGGTTGAATTGACTTAGAAGTTGGGGAGAGAAGCTCTTTTAAATTACTAAAATAAATATTTTAGTCTATAAATTTTGTTTCCAGTTTGTGAAATTTTTCTTCAGAGATACTACTGGTTTTCTATCCTATTTTTCACTTTTACATCAACTAGAGGGCTCAGGAAACACTGATTTGGGACTGTCTTCCATACCATATAAGACATAGCTTTGTCCCATTTTGTTTTATTTTACATATGAAGATCTTAACTTTTATTTCTTATTCAGTTCATTTGAATTCCTCTTAGCTTTGATTTGCTGAGATAATCCAGTATTACAGCATATTCATTTTCAAACATTTTTCCTTCTTCCTCACATGTTTCAGGGATCCTCAGCAACCTATTATTCTCTTGAGGGTTGAGCTTGCCCAAGGCATTCGTCTTTGTAAAATCTCCAGTTGCTCCATCTGAAAATGGAATGCAAAAGAACCAATGCCTTAGAATTGTGCCTTAGAATTCATTAAGGTTATGTACCTGAAGATTTTAGCTCATAGTAAGCAGCTGGTAAGTGTTTGATGCTAACTCTAATTTTGTTTTTCCAGGTCATGTGCTTTCTAGCATCTCTGCTTTTCCCATATTTTGTCATTTCCTTGGGCCAAACCTAGATCAGCCCTCAAAACCCATTACATACGCCTCTTGTTCCATAAAATTCCTGTGTTGAGCTCTTACTTGAAATAATCTGCCTTCTCTGAGTAATCTGCATTTCTTCTATGGTGCTTATCATATTCCACTGTTTCTTTCATTTACATGAGTCTACATAAAAGATGTGGTGTTTGCATATGAACTTGTTTTGGATGAATGTATCTCCACCCAGTGTTTTACATCATCACAAGAATGAATGATCTCTGAACTTATAGTGTCAAGTGACACAAATCTGTACTTACTAGGTGACAACATTCTCCCTTAATGCTTTAGTTGGCATGGGAGAATGACATTAGTATCCATTGTCTGTAATGCTAGTGTGACACCAGCAAAATAGAACACATGATGATTATTTCAATAACAGTTGATACATCTGAGTAGCAGATGCTCTCCTTTTTAAAACTTCAGCCAGTCCGTTTCTCTAGAACTTTCTTACAATGCCTCAGGGAAGGTTCTTTGCTATCCAGCAATCATAGGGCTCCCAGTTCTAGAGAATCAAATTTACTAAATCTTTTCTCATATTTGTTTATTTCAAGATCATGGATATCTGTTTTTGACACTAACACAGTATCAGGTTAATAATATCCCGTGGTTATTGCAGGCTGATCAGGTCTGCAATCTCCCATATGAGTGTACAGTAAAAGCTATATAAAAGAGGTAAATGGAATCACTTCAGGGCTCCTGGAGGATCAAAGCCCTCTTCCAGAAATGAGATTCTCTCAAGGCTAAGACAAAGACCTTCTCTGGGGGGCCCATATTTATTTAGTTATCAGAAGAAGGGATGGGAATA